CCGTCTTTCACTGCATGCTCGTTGTCGTCTGTGGCATGTTCTTACCGTGGGAATTGACTTTTGTGGCGGTTTGTAGTCGGTGGCTGAGGCGTGTCGCCGCGCCGGTTGGGATTCGATGGCTGTGATTGGCTGCTGTTTACTTATGACGCAACTTCAGTGCGTGTATTCAGAATAGCGGTCGCGCTATGTCATTGTTGGGCGTCGGGTGTTACCTTTGTGCTTTGCTATGTTATACTTGTTGTTCGGTGCTTTGTGTGTTGGATGCATGTTTATGTGTAGTTGTTTTGTTTTGTTTTTTTTTTGGTGCGTTGTACTGTTTTGTTTCAGCAAGTATCGTGGTCGCTTGTTATTTCGATGATTAGTTGTTACCGTGTGAATTTTATATTTCGGTGGTTGATTTTCGCACGCTATGTGTCTGTGCAGTAGGGATTACGATTGATCGATTGTGATTGGCTGTGATTACTTGCTCCTTGGCTTTGTAGCGCCTTTACTGATCGTTTGGCCGTTTTACCGCTCTTGCTTGTGTACTCTCTATCATGTCTTTATCTTCTGAAGTCCGGGTTCCGAAGCTTGATTTTTCCACCGGTCGTCCTGACACTTCCGGGCAATCTCATTCTGTGGCGGTAGTTATGAAAGAGCTGCCCGGTGTTGCCCGTCCCCAGGGTCCTCCTGCTTATTTCCGGTTATTCAAGGCTCCATTCTTGCCCACTGACCCTCATGCCTTTATGGTGGATACACCGGATGTTGGGGATCTTTGGTTGTGTACTCAACCTGCTTCCGAATCTATCTGGTATCGAGGGACCAGTCAGATTTGGGTTGAGTGGGATCGTACGGATGTATACACTTTCCATCCTGATCTGCGACTTCAAAAATACAACCTTGTGTTGTCTGGAGCCATGGAACGTACACATCAAGGTCTTTCCTGGGTTTCATCTTCTAGGAAGGCCTTGGTGGAGAAGCCCGTGTCTTATGGTCTGTTTACCGGGCGCAGTGTGGCCAGGTTGGTTTTACATTATTTGTCTTTTATACTGGTTCAATTTGTGTGTTAGGCATATGCTCTCCTATCGAACTCCTGCAACTCGAGGTCGGTCCGTTACTCGATCCGTCTCCAGGACACCCAGCATTGTCGGATCTGTTGTCGGATCAAGAGATAATTCACCGTCTCCTTCTGTCTCGGATAATATGTCATCTCGGCCGATGTCTTTTCCGGCTTTCGGTGTTGATTTAAACCCCGATGGCGTATCCAGGTTTTCTAGTGCTCCTCCGAGTACTTTGACTAGTCTCACTGATTCCGATGTGGATGATATGGCGGCTCAGTTGGGTGTCGTGGATATGGTTGCTGGGGTAGAAGGTGTAGAGTTTCCTCCTGGTACCAGTCAAGTCAAATGGGCCAGCGGTATAGTTACTATGGAGCCTTGGATTACGCCTATTGGTCAAGATGGTCCGGTATGTTTTTTTCTGATCGGATATGTTCTCTATCTTCATTGTTTTATAGGATGTTTTGGGTGTGCGGTCTATGGCCTCCGCTCCGGATATATCCCAAATTGAGTCTAAAGACTCTTTTGTGTATATCTTCGATATTCGTGATTTGTGTAAGAACGTCGACGATCCGGATTTGGAGGATCGCACTACGGTAGTTCAGCTTATCAAGGATAAGATATCCCGTGGTATTCCGGTTCTGGTCAGAGGATTTCCTCTTCCTTCCATCGAATGGGATTTCTCCTCTGTAAATCGTATGAAGGGTTCTTTGCTTAATCCCGTTTCTATTCAAGGTATGATCTGTTTATTCTCGAATGAACGTATTCTTACAACTCTTTCTTTTTTGATTTCCGGTTAGAGGCTCGACTTCGTATGGCTTCAGAAACTTATACCAAGAGTCCTGTTGCCGATCTCCACTTGGAATTGAAACTGGGCGATTTTATAGCCGCCGCCACTGAGCCAGATTCTGAGGATAGTCCGAAGATGTGTGGCAACTTATTAGACAGCTATTCTGTTGATTGGTCAGCAATGCCTTGGGTTATCGCGTGAGTTCTTTATTTTCCCGGTTAATGTCTCTCTCATGTATAATAGGGACATAAACGAGCAAGCTACCGCGGTTTATCAAAACCGGCGGGACTGGCATATTCGACTCAATAAGAATGCTAAAGGAAAGGAAATAGCCGAGCCCGAGACCTTTAGTGGGCCGCAGAGTATGCATCCTGATGGCTGGCAACTGCAGATGTGGGACCTGTTCACTCACGGTGGATTTTTCACTCGCATTCATCATGATGCGGCCGGCGCCGGTACTTGGATGGCTATAAGGGTGGGAGGGAAAATGTGGACTTTGGTGGACGTTTCTCAGCAGGGCATTCGATCTCGGGACCGTCTTGTGGATCGGTTCTACCATGCTACGGATCTCTTTACAGGAACTCCCAGTCAACCTGTGCCTCATAAGGCCGTCACTGTTTGTTTGCAACGTGGTGATATTCTGTGAGCTTTAGTTCAGTCATATATTTGTTCTTTATATGTTTATTGATGTGCCTGGTGCTTAGTATCCAGCCGCCCAATATTATGCATTGTGTTTACACTCCGGTGAAGAGTATCGCGACCGGGGGCCATTTTTACATGTATTCTTCTATGCATCTTACGGAATTTGGCTGTCGGGTGGACCATCGCAAGGGTGGATGGACTACTAACCAGGTTCATCCCGGTGCTTCTCGTCTCATGATCAATATGGCCCTGGCTCTCCCTAACTTTTCCGACAAGCCGATGCTCAAAATTCCTTTTCTGGGTTTAGCTCGCCTTATCTTGGATAGAGACGCTTATGAGCCAAGCCTTGATGGTGTTGGTACAGCTCGGTATTATCCTCAAGACATTCAACATCGGGAGGAGTTGGGAGAGTTGGACAAGGCGAAGAAGATCATCCAGGCTGTATTGGAAGCTAACAATATTCCTCTGTCTCAGGTCGACATTCTTCTGCAGTCTCTGGGACGTGATTACAAAGATCCCGGTGATGAGCAGGTGGACTTGTCCTGTCTTCGAGAGTGGGACACTATCCGTGTGGATGAAGATTATCGTCAGGTTTTGAAGGACGTGGTTTGGTTTGAGCAGCAGAAGGTATCTGCTGCGGCAGCCTCTGGGGCTGGTAAAGTCGCTCGTCAGCGGTTGAGGGAGGCTATCCAGCTTGAGAAGCATTCTATTCGTGGAAAGAGTTCCAACAACTAGTAATGTGCTGTCTCTGTCTTTGAGTGTAATGTTTGATTAGGTCAATTGTAGCCGTATTTTGCATGAGCTTTGTTATTTTTGCTGCTTTTGTAATCTGACCGGTCTCTCATTGTCTGTTACTGTTGGATTCATTGTTTCATTTATTTCGGGCTTGACTGTGCATCAGTAAGATTCCTCGCTACATGGTGTCAATTTTGAAGTCGTTGCGGCTGGTAGCCACCAATGTCGACTGTCTCTTATATATTTTGTAGTCAATCTGATGCTGCCTCGACATCACTGTCGAGTGCGTTTTTGTAGAGTGTATTGATTTTGTAGTCGCCGCGGCTCATAGCCACTGAGGTCGACTGCCCGTTAGAGCTTGATGCTTACCGTGTGAAATATCCTTCGAGATGATTATGTTCCCACGGTTGGTTTCCTTATCTGAGTCATTGTATCACTTTGATGTGCAGTGTGTTCGAGGATGCGTGTTTATTCATTCCCTGCATTTACCTCTCCACCGCGTGTTCATACCATTAAGGTCCGAAGCTGGTTGAAGCCTTTATAGTCGGTCCGACGACTTAGTAGCCACCGCGGCTCATAGCCATCGTCGACTGCCTATCATATATTTTGTAGTGCGTCCGAGGTTGTATTGACTTTGTAGCCACCGCGGCTCATAGCCCGACTGCCTATTAGGAGCTGTTTACCGTGTGAAATATCCTTCGAGGAGATTCCGTTCCCACGATGACTCGGTCTTCTGGGTTTTGGAATCCCGTACTTTCTGTCGATCATTATATGCTACGCCTTGTACTGTGCATATAGGGATGTGCACTATATATCAGATGTCGTTTAGTTATTGGTCTGCTGTATTCACTGGTCGGTCAAAGCATATTAAGGTGGAATAGAAGCATCATACCCGGTTTGTGCTTCTCAGGCCTGGGCACAGCATTGCGCGCGCTGGTGTAACTTCCACGATTA